CACTGGCCCCCGAGGCCTCCAACAACCGCCATTTCACACTATGGGACATCAAGGGTGAGAGACTGGATATTTTATCTTTTTTATTATACATTTGGGATGCACTGGAAAGTTTTATTTTACATGCATGAATATTTATCTTAAGTTTTGGCATATAAGCGAATATTGTGAAATATTATTGCAATTTAAAATAACTGTTTTTCTTTTTATCTGAATATATTGTATATATATAGCATATTAGAATGATTTCTGAAGATCATGTGACACTGAAGACTGGAGTAATGATGCTGAAAATTCAGATTTGATCACAGAAATAAATTGCAATTAATAATATATTCACTTAGAAAACAGTTATGTTATATTAAAATAATATATCACAAATTTTACTGTACTTTTGATAAAATGAATCTAGCCTTGGTGAGCAGAAGAGACTTCTTTATAAAACATGAAAAAAATCTTAATTGTTCCAAACTTTTGACCAGTAGTGTATGCGTTATCAATTGCATTTGGGCAAAACAGGTGCCACACAGCAGGGAGTGACTGTCCAATCACTTTTAGAGGTAAAATCAGGGGGGGAAATGCAGTTGTTTGACTGTAAAAGCAGCATCTGTGCATTTTGGTTTTTGCAAACACATTTCACCTTTGACTCGCGTGTGGCATGATGACCACAGCTCAGCTCTGCGTCTCCTGCAAAGAAGAAATCAATACGAGCAAAAAAGTCTTTCCCTTAATCCTCTCGTGTCGGACACGTCTGGAGCATCTGTCCATCTTCAGGCCAAATAGACACATCAGGTCTGTTTGTGCAGTTAGAAAGAACTTCAAAAAATCATCCGACCAGAGAGTTTCTGCAAAGAGTTCTGACATTATCTCTGAGCAAACTTCCCCAAGTGGACACCTTATCTTCCTTTCACTCGGGATCATCGGATGGATAGAGTTCCTCCGGGCGGTTTCGGTGTACGACACTCCTTCGACAGGCCGCTCGGCTGTCTCTGACCTGCACGAGGTGCCATAAAAATACAAGCCAAGTTTATCTGCTCTCCCGAAAAGAACAGTATGAGCAGAAAAAAACCTTTTAGTCTAAGTCTGACTTGACAAATGCAATCTTTCGTGAACGCTCCCCAGAGGTAGGCCACGCTGTCACTTTTATGACATCACCTTCTGTTGCAGCATCTGGTGTTTGTGTTCGCAAACAGAGAATGAGGGGTATTTCATATTTCTGTCCAATTCATATGCATGGTTTTTCTGTTATGTACTGGGAATTCTTTTATGAATTTTTGCTTGGATTATTTTGAGTTTAAAGATAATTATTTAAAGACCCAAAATAGAAGTTTTGTGGCTTTTAGTCTATATCAAAAGTTTATAAACGTTTAACAGATCGACTTAATACAAACTCTAATTACACTGTACATAAAAAAACAAAATTAAATATAATAAAAAATATAATAAGATGATAGATAGATAGATAGATAGATAGATAGATAGATAGATAGATAGATAGATAGATAGATAGATAGATAGATAGATAGATAGGTAGAGCCATTATAACCGATGTTAATTAGACATTTAATTCATATTAATTATAACAGTAATCAATAATAATTAACAAAACAATATATATATATATATATAGAGAGAGAGAGAGAGAGAGTCCGACTCTCTATCCATTAGGCCACAGCTGCCCCTTTTGTTTCTCCACTAGAAGTAGGGGCAGTTGTGGTCTAATGGATGGGTTAAATGCAGAGCACTAATTCTGAGTATGGATTACTATACTGGGCAACAAGTCACAACAATGGCAGAACACTCGCAACTTCTTCAATATTCTTGATCTCCATCAGGTCTTCCTAAATGAAGATCCTGATACCTGGGCAAACAATGCAAATGCAAGAAAGAGGTGTAGCTCTTATCCAAGAGTACAACGGACTCCTCAAAGACTGAAGAACAAACAATATGCAGTTCATTATGCAGATTGTCAGAGAACACTGAAATCTGTTTCCAGGTCCCCACTAGAGTACTGTGGTTGAAGGACTTGTTATATCATCAAAAATATGTAGAACAGATCTCAGTTTTGTTCCAAGTTCACTTTCTTCACCAGTACACAAATTTATGCCTTTATTTCGATAGGACAGACAGGAAGCAAAGTGGGAGAGAGAGAGAGAGAGTAATTTACACACATATATGCATGTGTGTGTACAGGGGCGGATTTAGTGATTTGGGGGCCCCAGGCAAAATACAGGAATGGGGCCCTATACAATTTCACACATTTACAACCTTGAGGTTCCTTTCACTGTTGCTCGCTGCTGCACGACCATGTCCCATAGTTGTGTCTAATCTTTTAGATTTTTCATGTACATGTTATAAATAAAGGATTTCTTTAATGTTGTAAATCCCTTGTTCACATTTAAACAGGTTATAATAGTATTAGAGTAGGTTGGACACTAGGTGGTGCGTTGGGGTAATTTTCACTATGCAATTGTCTACACAACGCAAGGCTGTCTAATTCTAAACTTTAAAATATACATTTATCTTTATTTATTTTAATTATTCTAGAAGGCAGTATTCCATTCAGGTAGGGAGTGTGCTGGCATTATTGATGTGAATCCATCTGCAAATAATCAGGCGTTTTCTCCTTCAATGTATATTTTTCATTTCTGTTTTCCTTTGTCAGTTTTATATTTGTTGTGTCCCGTCAGGCCGAGCGGGACTGTGTTATTGCTGGCCACTTTAGAGATATGTGTAAGTTGATGTGACGCATGGGCAAATCCAGACTGATCTGACAGGATGGAAATGTCAGCAGTGGAGAGCCAGGCAAATGTCAGCTGAGCACGTGAGGACGGCCGAGGGCCACACAATCACACACACAAACATGCACGCCTGAGCTGAGAGACACACGCACACACTGGATCAACTAGAGCTGGTAGAAATGGTAACTAAAACACTGCAGAAACACAATCTGCAACTGTGCAATGATGTGTACAGTGAATCTCATGAAGAAATGTACAGGTCAGATTTCACCCCAAAATCAAAAGAAAAAAGACAAAAAGTGTAATAGTGGCTAAAAGATATTAAATATATTAATGGAAAAGCACAAGCACAAACAACAAGGACCAAACACAAACAGCAGTTGAATTCAAATAAAATAAAATAACAATATACAATTATAAATAAAAGTGTATGTAATGCAGTATGCAAGTTATTGTGAACAATTGCATATTAACCATTTCAGAATTAATTGCATTAATAAATTACTATTTGCATGTATATATGTATGCATATTTGTGGAAAATAATGTCAAATAATTAATTAATATTAAAATGATTATATATATATATATATATAAAAATGAAAATAAAGGTGAATTGTGTAATTTCTGCTCCACTATTGTCACCAAACATCTCTGCAAAGTTGAGGGGAATGTTTGAAAATTGCTTGAAAACATTTATTCTTCTTGCTTTTCTGTTTGTTGCCGCTATAGTCTCACACTTCACCTTTGATGATCCCAAAACAGGCTTGATTTCCTATTTGCTGAATATAATTTCCTATTTTTCTCTCATTTGATTTTGGGATGAAATATGACCTGGATGTGTTCTTGACAGTTGTTGTGAGATTCACCCAGAAACTCTCCTAAAACGACGCCTCCGCAGGTTTCCTCTGCTATTCCCCTCTCAAGCACACTCAAAAGAGCACACTTTGTATCCTCCCACGCACCGTATCCCCCATACTTCTGTTTTCATGGACACATTTGTCAACCTGTCAGATTGAATCCGTCATTTTTCTCAGTTGAGCGCCGCAGCGCCGCATTACCTTCTCCCTCTGTGATCCGACTCACGAGGACGAACGCAGCTTTTTCAGCTTTTGTTTTTTATCTGTTCTATTGATTCAGATGTCCTTTCACTGTAATATTAAATTCATCTCTTACTTTGTGCTTCGAACAGAGTCCTTCCAGAGAGGGACAGAGAGACAGAGAGAGCTGTTTGGCACGTTGGGAATTTGATTGACGACTCCAAACAAAACATCTTTTGGCTTTGGTTTTGGACGGCTCGTCTGAAGCCAGTCAAACACATGAGGCTGTTTTCTCACACCAGTGTTTGATTTGTCTTTCCACGAAAATTTTCTGTGTCCGTTTGCTCCCCAGTCGCCTGCTGGCGTGTTTTTAGTCGCAGCAGAACGTATAGCGCAGGCCGAGGGCATTGTTCATTGTTGCTCAGTTTGTTTGGGATGTTTTTGGCATCGGTGGTGAGTTTTGTTCGGGTTTGATTTCATTGTTCTCTTTCCATATTTCGTATTCAAAGGAGTTTGACTGTTCTGGCCTCAGTTGGCCGATGCTGTGATACAGAAACATTACAATATGTTTCCATCTGGCAAATGCAGATGCCCAAAACAAGTGTCTTCTAAATGTGTAAATGTGATTCAGCAGATCAAGTGTCTCTAATGCTGCGGGATGTTTTCTCCCTCATCGCTGAAGTCTCAGTGTGTTTGAATCGGATGCTGTTTTAGTGATTTTTAGTGGATGCTTGAAGGTCACACCAGTCACATGAATTATCAATATTCACTTCTAATTTAATATTACCAATATTATCAATATTACACATCTAATTTAATGGCATTCATGTGTTTTCACTGTCATGGAAAACCTGGAAGTATCTGTGAATTTTAAAAATGGTGTTTACCATTTCCATATTTAAAAATCTTTTTCATAGAATCTTCTTTAGTGAATATGCATTTTAATCTATTTTCTACAATATTTCATATTGTTCTTGTCGTATGTACAGTAAAGCTTGCTCATAATGACTGATTTGTGAGTCATTCTTTTGAGTCAATTCTTAATGATTCATAAGTGAATTGGTCTGTGTTTGAATCATTTTTTAAAAATCCTTATCCACGTACTGGAAAGGTCACAGTAATTCACTGGTCAAAAAGTGCAGGATCCCTAATAAACGTAAGCACTAAATCTGATTCACAGCTTTTGGTGACTCGAAATCAATTATGAAGCTAATCTGAGCGCTGATTCGAGGTGCTGAACTCAATCAATGCTTTCCTTCTGCGTCTTCTTTTTGTCATTTAGGTGTTTGCCAGAAAGCCGCGGCCCAACTGGATGAATATTGAAAGGTCACGGCTCTGTGCTCTTTAATAAATGATTGGTTGATGGATTCGACATAACCCGATCAATGACCGGATCAGTGTCGCATTTTAAAACACATGTCAGTGTTTACTTCGGCTCATTGCAGGGAAACGACTGCGCTGAAGTTTGGTTATGGTAATATCTCCATTCCTGATGTTTTTAGACTTCAGACATGGTTTTGTTGCCTTCGTTGATGGTGTGTGCTGTATTTTTGAGAAGGAGAGCACCTCTGAGAGAAGATTTACCGGTCCAGTCCAGTCCCAATGTCATGGTGCTTTTACTCAGCAGAAATTCCTGGTCTCTCTGGCGGATGTGGAGACGCCAGCTGTATTTATCAGTAAGTGGTGCTCTAGCGCTGGAGCTGACAGTGATGTATGTCCTCCATGATGGATGGCTCGTGTGCCTGTATGCAAGTCCATCAGATGAGCTGTTGCTGTAGTTTTTCACAGTATTTTGCTGTTCGCCGCATTCATACATCTGCCATTTCAGTTCTGGGGAACTTCAGACCTGCTTTGTTTCTCGCTAACAGCCCACAGTGGGTTCAGTTTGTGGTCGTTGCTTCTATTAGGGGAACGAGTGTGTGTTATATGTGTGTGAATATCTATAGCTATTTTATATTTAAAAGTTTGAACTTTAGGACTCGTTAAGATCTTGTAACGTTGTTGAAAAAGTCTCTTACTCTCACCACGGCTGAAAGTTGGTGGGTTTTCTGACTAATTGGTCTTAATTAAAGGTCCTGTATAATTAGGCTGGTTTTAGGTTCATTTATCTGAAATGGAATGTTCTTGCAACAATGTAAAAGTCTATTAAATGTTATTATTTTAATTATAAACGTTATTATGTTTATTTTATTATTTATTATTTTATGATAAATTATACATATATTTTTTAAAGATTATACTGCTTTTATTGTGTGTCTTTACTTTCTTTTTACTTTTTTAATAATCATTTTATTATAAATTATATTTTATATTCAATAAATATTTATAATAATTTATATAATTTATATTGCTTTTTATAGTGTCTCTTTGCTTTAGTTTTTACTTTTTTAATTATTATTTTTCATTAATTATAAGTATATTTTAAATATACTAAATATAAATTGTATATACTCTATATATAACATATGAATTGTTTGTCTCTTTTTTTACTTTTTTTTTTTTTTAAGTTGGTGGGTTGTTTGAATGACTAGTTGACTAATTAGTCTTAATTAAAACTCTGTATAATTAGCCTGGTTTCAGGTTCATTTATTTGAACTAGAATGTTCTTGCAACATTATAAATGTCTTAAAATGTGTCACTTTTGATCAATTGAATGCATCCTTATATGCAATCCATGTTTATTTCTTATATACTTTTATAAGCTGCATTGTTTTTGGTTGTTTTTTATTTTTTAGTAATATTTAGTTCTCAACATGTCGCTCTACTATGATAGTAAGATGGCAAAACTGTGCTACTTTTAAATGTACCATAGTACGTAATGTTTATATTAAGGTTACACACAGCAGAAAAGCCTCTGTCAATACTATTATATAACACACTGCATTATTATAATATATAAATAACAGATTGCATATTGAGTCGTATGTTTGCATCTCAAACCTTTGGTCTCTCTGACTCTGTAGACAACACAGCCGGCATCAGGACGCAGCGCTCTGGATTCAACCGTCAGGAGCAGAACGTGTACCTGCTGCCCATCCTGGTGGTGGACAGCGGCCCTCCGGCCCTCAGCAGCACGGGGACCCTCACCATCCACGTGTGCGGCTGTGACACGGACGGAGCCATTCAGTCCTGCAACGCCACGGCTTACGTCATGTCAGCCGCGCTCAGCCCCGGCGCTCTCATCACACTGCTGGTCTGCATCCTCATCCTCATCGGTAAAGCCTTCACTTATCAACTGATTAAGGAACATTACGACCTATTTTCAACCTAATGTCAGATTTTGAGAGAATGCAATTCAATGCTTTCCTCAGTTCATAATGCATGCTTTAGGAAGCCGAGCAGACAAGAAACTTGTATTTCAGTGTTGCATAGATTGTCCAATTGAGTTTGTACTGCATTTCTAGGTGGATAAACTGCTTATGCATCACTGGTGCCATTCCTGTGAGTTTATTGAATGTAAACAGTATGTTACATCACATCCTTACACGGATGCTAAGCGAAAGTAACCGTGTTTTCTTGTTCCACTGGTGAAAGACTTTGACAGACGGGATTGATATGCGACTCTGTCGCACCGGTCTCATGCTGTATGCGTGTAATATTGTGTTGTGCTTCTAGTTTTGAAGCAGTCTGACAGATCGGACAGCGTATTGAGTACCAACATCATGTAGCTTGACTGGTAGAACATGACGAGGTCATGGGTTTGAACTCTAGGGAGCAAATAAACTGATGAAATTTATAGCTTGAATTCACTGTTCGCTTTGGATAAAATCATCTGCCATATCCATAAACGCACACTACTAGTCAAAGGTTTGGACGCACTTTTCTGAATTTGTTTCTCATGACCTTGAAAACCTCTTCATCTAAAATTGATGCTTAATTGTTTGAAAAGAATATTAATTTATTTACAAAACTTATTTTCATTTAATTGTTTGTTTGCCTATATGTTATATTTATAAATATTTATATATTTATTTTAATCTATCATGGATGCAAAAGTGAAAAAAGTGAGGCAAAAGTATTAACAACATATTTATAATTCTAAAATTAGAGTAATAATTGTAATACAAATAGTAATAAAAATTATTATTTTTTTGCAAATTACATTTGGCCTTTTTATTTTTTATTATTTTAATTAATTTTACATTATTAATATTTATTATTATTATTATTATTATTATTATTAATGTACAATTGTATTTTTATTTTTAAATTATTGGAGGAAACAAGAAATTATAAAGACATTACATACATAAGAAAAGCAATTTTATAAATTTTATTATAAAATGTCATAAATTATAGGAAATATATATATGTTTATTATTACCGTTTTTGATAAAATATAATTCACATAAGTTTCTTTGATTTAAAAAAATATATATTAAAGGTAAAATGTAATTTTCTAAATATATTTTCATTTCTGTGACGCCAAAGCTAAAAAATAAAAAGTAATAAAAAATATGTTCTTATAACAATGTAAATGTCTTTATAATAAATAGAGTAATAAAAATAGTAATTATTACTGTAAAAATTTACAATTCTAAAATTATTCTAAAACTCTGGAGGAAAAACGTAACAATGCAGAATGAGTAGATGCCTCTTAAACATTTATTCACAGTTCTCATCTGATAGATTTCCATTGATTTCCAATGCGTTTCCCATTCATTCATGCACACGTTTATGCATTTATTATTTATGGTAGGCTGTCTGTAGATATTAAATGGTAAATAACCCAGAGGATTACTTAAGCATTTATATAAGGTATGTATGTCATGGAATGTGAGTGTATGTGGGTCAATGATGTGAATGAATGCAAGGGTCACTCATCTGTATCATCTCACCTTTAACAAAACACAGGTGTCTGACGGATCTCTAAGATGCAAGGATGTCCACTTGAGAATATGCATTAATATTTGCATTCATAGAGCAATTAATAGAGGCGTTCAATAGTCGTATGCTTGGAGAGCAGCGGATATATAGAGCCAAGCAAGCTCTTAACATTTGTGTTTACCTCCTCCACCGCTGTAACTCTTTTAATGGCCCATCATCATTCTGTAAAACCTGGGTTCAAATGCGGCAGGAGGCGAAAAACAAAACTAGGATGACATAAAAGCTGATCAATATTTCATTCAGCATCCTCTGCCCACCGACTGCAGTTGCTCATCCTCCGTCAGGTGGAGAACGACAGCTTTTGTTCATGCAGAGCGAACACACTCACAATATAGGACTCGGTGAATGACGTGCAGCCTCTCTAGCGGAGGACGGGTGAGTTAGGGGATGCTCAAAACGGATGTAGCCCTCGCTCGCAAAAAGAGCAGCATCAGCACCGCTGTCCCGGCGGAGCGCCGTGGCTTTAAATAGAGCAGCCTTTCTAGACATCCACCAGTTCCCATGTACCAGAGCGGTGAACTGCGCTTCTCTTGTCATCTCTGAAAGTTTTATGACTTTCTCCTGTCCTCAGTATATCTGTCTTTATTTTTCTCTTCTCCACTTAGTGCTTTTCCCATCCCTCTCTCTCTCTCTCTCTCTCGGGAAAGTATGCAACATGAATTGTTTTCAGTCAGCTGAGCAGGTTTCTGCTCATCTTTCCTGCGGTGAATCATTGGCAGGTCATGTGCGGGTCTTCAGACACACCTCATTTCTGTTTAATTAGCCGTGTTTACTATTAACTATTACTATTGCTCATACTTTGGTTTAGGGGTTTTCAAAAGTGACCAGGCTTAACATATTTCATAAATATAGAAAAAAAGATTATAATAGAGACTCTTTTTTAATTATAATTTTATATTTTATTGTATGTATCTATTTAATATTCTATTTTTAATTGCATTTTAGTCTGTTATTTTTATTTTATTTTAGTTGTTTTGCCTATGTTACTCTATTTTAATAATCTAAATGCAATCAAAGTTATATTTGGAAACATAATTCATAATAATTATTTTTCTCTTCTATGCTATTCTGTTCTGGTCTTTGCTATTTCCAGTCCTGGCTTCAGATTGGTCAGCATTCAAGTAACATAGCCTGTCATACTGTAATCCTTTTTTTATATTTTATTGTATTTTATTTTATTGTAATATTTTAATATATATATATATATATATATATATATATTTTTTTTTTT